TAGGTGGAAGACGGGGAGATATCACATTGCAGCACATATTGATGTTTGTGACATGTGCAGATGAGGAGCCACCCCTGGGTTTTACTATACCACCAAGCTTAACATTTGTTCCTGCACAAGAAGATGGCAAGTTTGTTCCAACAGCTAATACATGTATTTGTGCTCTTAGTCTTCCACATTCCACAACCCTAATTCCTCTACCTACACCTGATAGACTTTTCTCATTATATGACTATGCATTTGCAAATGCCTTCTTTGGAAATATGTAAAAACATATAAACAATGTAGTGGAATTTTTCATTAAAACCATTTGATGTGTTCTTTGTTTTATGTAACATATTTTAACAAGCTTTTGATTGCTGGTCTGCAGTCTGATATTGCCTACACATGAAAAACTGTAAAGTGACAAGAGAAAGCATGTGACACTTATTATCTTAAAAAAAGTGAACTCATGAGCAAGGGTAGTTGGTTTGTGTAATTTAACTAATAATACATTATAAACTACATTAGTTTGTTTAACTATAGTTTGTTTAAAATTCCATTTGTAACACATATAATTAATGAAATTTCAAACATGCCTTTTGATGATATCTAATGCTGCCAGATAATCTTGAATGCCATGGTTTAACAAAGTCCAGTTTGAAGAAGTCCTGTTCAGTTCCTGTAGACAAGCTGCAGGCAATGAAGATAGCAAAGGCAAAACAATTGGTCGTTCTCCTTGCATTTGCTCCTCGTCTTCATCTTCAAGATCACCATTACTTCCCATTCTGTCTAGGTAATTGCTTCCAACTGCAAGCCACATTTGTGCAGGGGTTGCTCTAGTTGTTCGCATGCGATGATGAGCCCAAGCCATTCTCCAAGTGTCTAGCTTTACATTCACAAAAGGCAAATAAACATAATGCAAAGCTGCCAAATGTGATTCAATTAATGGATCAAGCACACCTTCTTCTTCCAAGAAATAAAAAAGTTGATAGAAATAACTGAGCACACCATCATAGACATCCCTCCATAATCATTCAATTTGCAGGTTGTGTGTGCTCTTCCCTGCAATAACACTTGCCCGACCAGTCCCTCTCTTCTCAATCATGTATTGTGCAATCCCAGCATTTTCAAGACCGTTGTCTATCCTAATTCTGCTACGCAAGCCATATTCCTGTACAGCATGACAAAAGCAGGTCAAGACAGTATTTGCTTTATTGTTGTCTGAACATTTCAGCATGACAGGTAAGCGACTAAAACCATCAATCCCTCCAATAATTATCATATTCCAACGAATAAGTTTGTGGTTTGAGTCTATGTGCCATAGGTGGTTTGGCCCTTGGACGTGATAAACCCTTCTTTGCCGCCTTCCCCTTTTTCTTTGAGCAACGCCCTCCTCGTCAATCCTATGTATGCTATCACGTAAACGCCACCGCTGTACTTTAATACCCTTTCCAATAACGATCTGCTTTACCATGCTCTCGCCGCAGTGGGGAAACTCTTGGCCGATCTTAGCAATATGTTCATCCAAATCCCCGTCCGTAATAACAGAGAATTCATTCTTACAGAGGTCAAATTTTCTCATTCGCCGGTATAATGTGCTCTCAGAAACTGAAAGTAGTTTTTCAATTTCTGCTATCGTGAAATCTTGTTCCAAATAGCCTTGAAGGAGAAGCTTAGGTATATTAAACTGTAGTGCTCCGTATTCATTCCGTGTTCTAGTTGGTGGTTCGCTCAATCCACATTTCACACACTCTACTCGTATTGACATAATGTCGGAATGGTTTTGGATCCCTAACTCTTTGAAATCATTGAGAGAAAGCTTACAAACTAAGTCCGGCGTTATTTTCTCTGAAGTAAATCGCTCCTCAAAGTGATCCAGTCGCAACTTTTGCAAAATAAATGATATTTTGGACTCCATTTTGAAATTATGAAAAAAATAAAATGAAGGATTTATAAATTGATGCGTCAGCGCTGACCAGCAATAGCGGCTCACCGAATATAATGGCCAAAGCACCGCGTATAATGGTCAAAGCACCGCGTATGATGGTCAAAGCACCGCGTATAATGGTCAAAGCACCGCGTATAATGATCAAAGCACCGCGTATAATGGTCAAAGCACCGCGTATAATGGTCAAAGCACCGCGTATAATGGTCAAAGCACCGCGTATAAAGGTCAAAGCACCGCGTATAATGGTCAAAGCACCGCGTATAACGGTCAAAGCACCGCGTATAATAGTCAAAGCACCGCGTATATAGGTCAAAGCACCGCGTATAATGCTTAAAGCACCGCGTATAATTCTTAAAGCACCGCGTATAATGCTTAAAGCACCGCGTAAAATGGTCAAAGCGCCAATTGAAATAAATTTGCACGACCTAAGGCAGCTATGGCTTTCCATACACTCTAATGTTGTCATGAGCTGCATGCAATATACTAGTTGTTTTCCCCACTCCTTAAACTAATGACAGCATTTAAATAGCGTTTTCCAACGATTGTTATCTTCTCAAATTTTCTAAATATGTGTATGGACACCCGAAAAAGTTTGTTTTATTTTTTTGTTTCTGTAAAACCATTAATGGGGCAAATAATAAACAAAGTTTGACTATTTCGTCCCGAAAATTAGTGAGCCGCCATTTTCATTTTTTCTTAACTTGGATCCTGGTAGTACAGTGAACTGCACTTCAGTGTTGAACTAAAAATTAACCCTGAGTTAACCAAAATCTGAGTTAACTTAACATATTTGGGGTTGAAATTCATTCAACCAGGATTTTTTAACCAGGATGTTTTTAGAGTGTATGTTTTCAAAACATGCAATTTTTGAGTTATTTTAAGGAGAGATGTGGTGAACATGTGCCACTCAGGTTAATGGCTTTATTGAAAATTTTCCAGCTTTTAGAGCATTCTAAATCGAAGAATGTTACTAGAGAGTTAAAATTTTTTCGAGAACTGTCAACCATGCGAGCTAGTATTTGTCAAATGCTACTATTTGCTAAACAAAGAAGGAAACAATCGTGTTAATGATTGTTTTAACTAAACTAGTAGTTCTTGTGTGAGAATATTTGAGCTACTATTTGTTAAGAGCCAGAGTAAGTAATAACGTCTCAGACTTTCTCAATATCCTACCTCAATTTTTTTTTTTTAGTATGTTGGTCGGGCAAAAATTGAATATTGTTTAAAAATTGTATTAATTTATATATGTGTAGTATGTACAATATACTATACATTGGGTATATAAACAGTTATTCTAAGTGTAATGTATTTTCAAGGTAATTTATTCTTTTAGAAATAAAAAAGTCTGCCAATAAATGCTCAAAAGTAGTGTGTGTTTATTTATACAGTTAGTGCTTATGTCGTGTGTTACCTACTCTTACATGGATGCTCTGTTCTCATGTGGCATTAGTCTGTCTAAGTCGTTCGGTTCCATCAAAGATTCGACATTAAATATTGAGTGAAATGTACCAAGTAGGAATCCTTTTTGCTATATGGATTTATGCAAACTTGGCTGGCCCTAAAACACCCTGATAATTAGTTTTTCTGCAAACTATGTATTTGAAATATGCACTTTGTCTTTAATATATACCATCTTTATATCTGCAAAGTAAATGCAAATTAGGTATTAATCATTTTCTTCTTTAAATTAGTTTAAATACTTTTTTAAATTACTCCACTATCCAAAAGTTGGTGAAAATGCAGTACTATACTCCTTCTAACTAAGTACGCAATCAAAACATGAAAATTACCACTTTCGAAAATAGATAATTATCTGTTATCCTGTGCCGCTCACATTCCATGGTTGCAAGAAGTATTTCAATTGGCAAATAGCTGTGTAATTATAACAATATTTGTAATCCAATAAATTGCACATTTTGATATAAGTATGCTGTATTGTATGCATGTACTCTTTAGCTACAGTCGTTGACTTCCCTATAAAATCATATTTTCACATTCCTCATTAATCTGTTACTACAATAAGATGAAAAAAATCACACTTGGTGATTACTCTTTTAAAGTGTACTGGTTATCGAAGAAAATACTTTTATTAAAGTTTTTGATGTATACAACCCATATTATGTACAAACAAAATAGGTGGTATTTTCTGTAAACTGTCTTTTTTCTCTCTTTTGATTGCAAGAAATAACACGCGTCATTTTATCACCCTTTACGACATTAAGCAATGTAAAAAATTCTTGCAACTTGTGCGAATTAGGTTAATAACTGTCAAATGCGATTAGTAAGTAAGTAAATATGATAAGTAAGTAATTTTTTTCGTCTTTCATGATAATAATAGAAACTCGTTAAAAGTGAGTGATTTTGTTTGATAGGGTTGTTCCATATATTTCTTATTTTCACTTTGAAGACACTGAAAATCACTTCTCGGATGGTCGAAATTTCAAAAATAAATAAACTGGTGAGCATGCCAGACCATCTAATCACGGCTTGAATCTTTGGTACTTGCAATGACCCGGTGACAAGCTCATCTCAAGAGCTGGATCTGCCCCTGGATTTAAATTTGGGCAAGCAAACCACTACCCCTTAAAGCCTAAAGCTCCCGTACGCCTATGGTTGTTAAGGCCGTAATCATTATTGCCATTTTTAGGACAGAAATTTAACTAGTTAAATAGTTGAGCGGCATATAAGGCTGCATATTACTGGATTATGTAAACTAAAATTTATGACAGAATAAAATCTGTTAAAAATTATCATTTATTTCTAAAATTGAAAATTTTGAAGTTATTGTTTCCCAAATTTGCCAAAGTGCATATGAAGAAAATTTGGAAAAAAACTTCAGGTAAATGTTTTCTACCCCTCCTATAAATTGGAAGTCTTTGCGACGTCACTGCGAACGATGCATCTAAAATCTTCTTTTACGTCATAGCAATACTATTAAATAAATTAGTAATTACGTATTTACGCTAGAATTTTTCTAAGTTTCGTCAGCTTTTCTTTCGCTATTTTTGCAGAGTTGGATGAATGATTGTTAATTTCTTAGGTGAAAGTGCACGGTTTAACAAAATTTTGATACATGGGAGTGGTCACATTGGCTATAAACTGTTCTAATACAACATTGTAAATATGATGAATTACAAGAACTGTATCGTTCCATACCAGAGCTCATCAGCATGCCTAGAAATTGGTACTTCAAGATCGCAATCTGTTGTTATTCTACTAATGCTTGGAAAATGAATAATAACTATTTATTACGTTTACTTTAGCTTATTTAGGAAATGAGAAGATATATCCGGTTTAGAATATTGGGAATGAGCTGGAGCTTTTGAGAATCGTGCATGATTCTTGCTTTTTCCCTATAATATCTCACATAAATTGGATATTGCTGTAAAACAAGAACTGAAAATGAATGCAAAGGTTGTGACTTTGGGTTTTGTATAAAAACAAGACTGGTGATGGCAGTCACCTGTTGTGCTAGTTGCGTTTGTAGAATGGTAAATAACTTAAGCAAAATAAACTTAGCATTATTACTTGCTGGGGTTAACATTGGTTGAAAAAAATTAGAAATCTAAACTGTGAAGTAGACGCTCCTTTCAACTATTCCTAAACATGAGAAATTTCTTGTCAGCTTTTTCTAACTTTTCTAACAAAGCAGAGCCAAAAGCCATTCCCTTAGATTTACTGTTACGTTTGAAAATAAGACGTACAAAATGATTTGCGTTAAAATCAGTCAATGGTGTTGTAGAACAAAACAAGAGGTATAAATAGTTATACTGAATAAGTGGTAATGGAAGACGAGGTGGAAAAAAAGACAAGGTGAATTAATTTGGTGGAATAACTTTCGATGCTATATTACGGACAAGATTCCCAGCAGAAACAAAAGCAAATAACCTTTCGGTAGGAACAATTTTAGCCACATCAAGCTGCTTATCGTAGTCGTACACCATATTTGAAGACAATATCTCCTCGCGATCGTTATTTCGAAATATAGAATGAATTTTACTAACATCCTTTACTTGGAATGAAAATATAATATCATAGCCAATTGTTACCTCTGATTAAATTTCTTATAGCTTTACTAACGGCGTGTGTCTGTTAAGATTTTGCAATGGTATGACGTCACAATTTAGAAAATTTTTTTAATGTGAGAGAGTAGATAATAAAAATGCTAAGTTCCGCACGAATGTTTGTTTTCTGTTGATAAACATTTGTAACGAACAGAAAGAAAATTTGCGAAGAATACCTAGTACTAGCAGTATTATGTTTTTTAAACGGCTGCTGATTTTTGTTAAGGCGATTCACTCGGTTTGAAAACCAATGTGCTTTCATGTATGTTATTATCGCCTGTTTTAGTGGCAAGAATTTTTATTTTACCGCATCACATGGTGGACAAAAGTACATTTTATAGTAGTAGCAGTAATATGGCTTTATCAAGGGTGGCTGATTTGCATCAAGGAGATTCACTCGGCTATATACACAATGTGCTTTCATGTTATAATTGAAACTTTTAACGGCACGAAAATTTTATTGGCCGCATGGTGGAGAAAAGTACGTTTAATGCATTATAAGGAGTAGTCAATAAATAAGTAAAAGCTCTCAATATTGACTTTATATTCGCAGCGCTGAGAAATGCGTTATGTTGTATAAATGTTTTAGCATCTCAAATGATTTTTGTTTTAAAATATGTACGTATGTGTAATATGATGGCCAAGAATAGTACCGAACAGAGAGTTGTAGTAGAGCCTATTATGGAAAAGTATGTATCAGTTTGATAACTACAACATGGCCTTAGAATAAACTGACACACATATATCATAATTATACAACTATAAATATTTCGGCTTTATAGCTACTTGACCACAACGTCCACAAGAGATTTAGACGAATAATAAATTTTACCAGGACAACTCAACTAATGAACTAACAAGAAAGTTTTGCTTTGACATGTTCAGCTCATTAGGTCATCACTCTGTTGACTCTGCTTATTAACAGAAGAAAATTTCGTTTGATTTATCCTTGAACGACGATTCTATTCTTCACAAAACGTTTGGACGACAAATGGCGATGTATTATTTATCTAATAAAAACAGTTTTTATTCAAAATGGCAAAGAGTTTTACGATAAATTTGCGAGGACGTCTCTATAATCGTCGCAAGTAAAGTGCGGGCCACACTATCGTCGAAATGCAACAAATTTCGTCACGAGTCACTCGTCAACAAGCCGTAGTGACGAGCACATGTGTCACATTGTAACGATTTTCCGTACAAGCATGGACGATTATCAGCGCAAAAAGAAACTTCTATTATTGAAGAGAAATTTTTCTGCTTCTAATTTCTGCAAAACGACGCACATACAAAGGAAGGGTTTGTACGACACGTTGTTGCAAGAGCTTCGTCAAGATAATAAACTGTTAGTAAAGCATTAAAATAGCTGTGTGCTTAATGATGACATAAAGAATTGAAAAAGAAAAACTAAAGATACCAAATTTTTTTTTAAATAATGAACCTAGGTTGATGTAAGTAAGTGCATTATCTTGCGCAACAGACTGAATAGTCTGATGAGTAGTATTAGTAACAGTTGTGGGTTGGCTATAGGTAAAAATGGGACCATGTGTTTGTCAAGGTGCAAATTGAATTTGAAATAAAATGTTTTCAATATTTTTTCGTGCCACAGCTTGTTGATACTCGCTCATTTTCCGCATTTTAGCAGCTATTGTCATGGAAAAATAGTGTAAGTCATCAATAGGCTCCATCTGTGACATGCTAGAAAGTTCAGAGTTAACAGATGCCATTTCTTTAAGCAGCAATGCGTTTTCTCTCTCAACATTACTACGTTTAGTTTTGCTTGGTCTCTTTGGTGTGAAGGTTGAATTACAGGTGGAATTGCAAGCAGAGACACTGGATGTTTCTTCCTCGTCCTCCATATCATCCGATTCAGCAATATATGGTGAACTTGTTTGATCACTTGCATGGCTGCAAGGTGATAAAACTCGAGGTTCAATTTCAGGTAAATTGGAAAATGAACTGCTCCTGAGAACGCAAATTTACTCGTGAAATAAATAAGAGCATGCTGTTTGATCTCCCGCAACTTCCACCTCGCCAGCCGAAACTGGCGATGGCCGAAGTCGACTACGGCGTTAGCGAACTTCTCAAATGCGGTACAACTCAGCACCCCTCTAAATGTTGAACGACTCGCCGATGTGGGCGGTCGTCAGGGTCAAGGACGCGGCCCGCAAGGCCTAAGAACTACTGTTGCTGATGTGCTAATGGAAATGTAAAGCCGCCGTGGGCGACGAAGCAAGTACATTGGGTTCCAAACTTGTGGTTGACCATCTCAACATAGAAGATCCATAGCGAGGCCAAAAATGCTTTCCAGGAGCGACAAATGATGATCTAAAGCATTCTTGTGTTCCTGTATGAACAAGGAATCCTAAACATGCAATTATACACTGTGTAACAAATGATCTATGTTCTAGCTATCCACAAGAATTGTTAAAGGAGATGGAGAAACTGTGTGATATCATCGTATAGAAATGCCCTGGTATTGATACTGTTGTTGTTGTTGTTGTTCGTCCATCGCGAGCGATGATGACCTTGACCAGTTAACTCAAGTACTAGAAGATTTGGGTACGGTGAGTTCTGAGGTGGCTAATGAGCCCAATCTTGGCACGGAATGTTCTTGAACACGAAGGGCAAACCAGAGATGGATCTGATGTTGAAGCACTGGCTGCTCTTGATTTCCACAGCTCACGTTTCTGTTTGGCGTCATTTAATGGTGTAACAATTCCATCTATACAAAACAACATTACGATAAATTTTTTTTTAACAAATTACCTTTCTGTTTGAGCGGATGTTGATACGACACTAACAGTTTGTTTAAATAAATGCTCAATGCCGACTGTCTATTTTAAAGTAATGAGAGGAGATTCATGTTTGTAGTTTTCAAACCAAATGGTTCATTGCAAGCAGGACAAACCGCTTTCCTTTTCAACATCCGTGGGATGCAACCAGCCATGCAAAACATTGCTGACTTTTAAATTAAGCAGAAAAGCTGGGTGAGTAGTAGATAAGGTGCAGCTTTGTCACACTTTTGTCACAGAGCTCTTACCCGTGCCAGTTAGTTTCCAGTCCCCTGAATTTGATCGGTGCGCGCGCATGTCAACCGGAAATAGGGTTTAATAAACAGGGCATGGCATTGGATGGCGTGAAAATTGGAAATACGACAAAGCTGGAAGTTGCATGCTATTGACAAAGTAACATTAGATCCGTTTCCTTTTCTCAATCGAAGGTAAAAACGGTAGAAAACGAGGTAATTGCATTTTATAGCTTATACTTTATCGAAAGGTTTACATTCTATCTCTTGAAACAAATGGAATTGAATGTAGACATTGATCTGGCATTAAGAATGAACAAATTGCTTTTGGAGTCAGAAAAGAATGAAATAACTGTACGTCAAAGTATGTTAGAAAATAAACTTTTAGACTGCTATGCTGAAGAAATTGCTGCAATGATAAACGCTGAAGTAAATAAGAAATGCAATGGATGCATGATTGATCACCCCTTAGCGTGAGCATGATTGTTTGATGATGGAGCATGACGAGCGTATGTTGTTGCATTTTGATGATGCCTTGAAAAATGTGTCCGAAGAGATTGTGATCAAAGATTTTATGAAAAGCATTGAAGATGTCAAGCCACCCGTTAATGGACTTGAGATACTAAAATACACTTGTAACGATTGGCGTAAAATATTTGTTTCGGATAAAAAGAACAAACTTGAAACACGAGTCGTTAAGCTTTTGTAAATATATATTTTTATTTATTCCCGTTCGATTCGTAAGGTCAAACCATTACACATTGTTCTAAAAGAAATATAAGAAACACGTATGAATTTATTGCTTACATGTTAGCACTTCTGTATACATATACGTAAGCGATGTAATATTACATAGAAAAAAACATTTTACGACAACTACAAACGAATTGAAACTTACTCGATAAGGTCTTTTATGAGACGATACATGCCCACACGAGGGTTTTACAAGATAATCATCACAGTGATCACATTTTTCTAAAAAATAAAATCGACGCCTCTGTTAAAGTTAATACAAACACCCTAAGGAACAGAAAAAAGACAAACGGTACTTACTGAAGGTATAAAACGACGCTTATGGCGAGGCCATCCTTCTTCGATTGCATGTTTGGATATTGCATCTCCACAAAGGCTCTCTGTTTCGTAAATGGTTGAGATACACTACACATGCGCTTGAGATGTGACCTTCGTTGCCATCTCGCAAATGTAAATTACCATTGAATAGTATGATCTTGAATAATGTGGCGTGGGTAAAATCTGTGCAGTATCCTAGCTTTTAATTCTGTCTTTTTTAGATTTACAAACATTATTTTATTTTAGTATGCGTTTGTTTTACTGGTTGCTAGAGATTGTATTAGGAGAATTTAAACGAAGAAGTTAGTGCAATCAACTGATAAAGTGCAACGCTTATTGATATTGCAGCAATTGATACAAGCCTATCTGCCAATAGTGGTTTAAATTTAATGCCAAGATGCGTTGTGGCACAACAATTTTAGTTGTTTCAGGCTTACAATAACCGGTTTACTGCTGAAAGTCGCGTATATAGGTAGAAGTGTGCCGTAAGCGTAATATTATTCGAGCTATTTCATGCATCATCACTTTAGGAATTTCCTTTTATCGGCGCAAAATATTTCGAGCTTCGCGCAGTATGTATAGCTCTAAGAGGCTTTCTTGGCATGTTCCATTAAACAGATAGAGATAGAAACAATAGCAGAGGATTTTTGCAGCATGCAATATTAAAGTAATTTTCACAAACTGAAAGTCAAAGATTTTATTGTCACTTCAAAATAAGATACAAGTTATTATGAAACGAATTCATCTAACAAAGTTAATCTTCTTCATCATCACCAAAGCTGTACCTGTTGATGAGAAACTTTCTTATCAATAGCTGCTTCCATAGCTTCCTGTCAAAGTCGTCATTTTCTATAAACTTTCTTTGTATGCATTATGGATGGGATCTGGGTTTATCCATAAGACGTTGCATATAAATACTTTCCAATTCTTTTGAAGCAGAATATGCTTGATTTTCAGCTGTCTGCTCATCAGACCACTGTTCACAAGGCTTTCCTTCATCTCATCGAAATCTACATTACTTTTTTCCCTTGCTTCTTATCAAAGGTTCCTTCTCGTTTCAGCCTCATTTTCTATTGACATTGAACTTTCAGATTCATCTGTTGAGAACATTATCTTCGAAATGCATTCTCGACAGTCTGAATGATTGAGACATTTTCTCATTTCGGACAGTATTCTTGTTGCGTGTTGAAGATTGAATACTTTTCCACAATATCTGCAGCTCATTCGCCGGCACTGCCTTTAGAAATGAGACATTTTATAATGTGCATTTGTGGGCAAATGAGCAGTGTTGAAGAGCATTTGAGCAAGTGCTCATAAGTAATTATGAGCATCAATGAGCATTGCTCATCTGCTCATAAGACGAATAAAGGTTTAAACTATTGTATATAAATTATTACAAAAAAAAAAGTTAATATAATTTTCTCATGTTAGATAATGAACAAAACTGCTTTATGATAACAACTTGGTATAATATATATACAATAGTTTAAACCTTTATTCGTCTTATGAGCAGATGAGCAATGCTCATTGATGCTCATAATTACTTATGAGCACTTGCTCAAATGCTTATAACAGCTTCAACACATTTGCTCATTTGCCCACAAATGCACATTGCTACATAAATTGTCTCATTTCTAAAAAGGCAGTGCGGGCGGAATGAGCTGCAGATATTGTGGAAAAGTATTCAATCGAGCTTTCAACTTACGCAGACACGAAAAAGAATACTGTCCACTAAGGGATGAGGAAAAAATGTCTCAATCAGATTCAGACTGTCAGGGAATGCATTTCGAAGATAATGTTTCTACAAATTCAACAGATGAATCTGAAAGTTCAATGTCAATAGAAAATGAGGCTGAAACTGGAGAAGAAACTGATCCTTGGATACCTTTGATAGAAGAAGCAAGGGAAAGAAGTAATGTAGATTTCGATGAGATGAAGGAAAGCCTTGTGAACAGTGGTCTGGATGAGCAGACAGCTGAAAATCAAGCATATTCTAACATTCTACCAAAACTTCAAAAAGAATTGGAAAGTATTTATATGCAACGTCTTATGTGGATAAACCAACTGTAAAAAGATCCCATCCACAGAAAAATAATGCATGCAAAGAAAGAGTTTATAGAAAATGACGACTTTGATCCACAGGAAGCTATGGAAGCAGCTATTGATAAGAGAAAGTTTCTCATCAACAGACTTTTAAAAGAGTACAGCTTTGGTGAGATTGCCAATGATGAAGAAGATTAACTTTGTTAGATGAATTCGTTTCATAATAACTTGTATCTTATTTTGAAGTGACGTTGTTCTATAAAATCTTTTGACTTTCAGTTTAGTGTGAAAATTACTTTAATATTGCATAGCTGCAAAAATCCTCTGCTATTGTTTCTATCTCTATCTGTTTAATGGAACATGCCAAGAAAGCCTCTTAGAGCTATACATACTGCGCGAAGCTCGATGCTTTTGAAATATTTTGCGCCTTCATAAGATGAAAAGGGAAATTCCTTAAAGTGATGATGCATGAAATAGCTCGAATAATATTACGCTTACGGCACACTTCTACCTATATACGCGACTTTCAGCAGTAAACCGGTTATTGTAAGCCTGAAACAACTAAAATTGTTGTGCCACAACGCATCTTGAATGCATAAGTTAATAAATTTAAACCACTATTGGCAGATAGGCTTGTGGTATCAATTGCTGCAATATCAATATCAAACGAGCGTTGCACTTTTATCAGTTGATTGCACTAACTTCTTCGTTTAAATTCTCCTAATACAATCTCTAGCAACCAGTAAAACAAACGCATACTAAAATAAAATAATGTTTGTAAATCTAAGAAGGACAGAATTAAAAGCTAGGATACTGCACAGATTTTACCCACGCCACATTATTCAAGATCATACTATTCAATGGTAATTTATAATTTACATTTGCGAGATGGCAACGAAGGTCACATCTCAAGCGCATGTGTAGTGTATCTCAACCATTTACGAAACAGAGAGCCTTTGTGGAGATGCAATATCCAAACATGCAATCGAAGAAGGATGGCCTCGCCATAAGCGTCGTTTTATACCTTCAGTAAGTACCGTTTGTCTTTTTTCTGTTCCTTAGGGTGTTTGTATTAACTTTAACAGAGGCGTCGATTTTATTTTTTAGAAAAATGTGATCACTGTGATGATTATCTTGTAAAACCCTCGTGTGGGCATGTATCGTCCACAGATCTAATAATACACTAGATAGTGCAACTGACATAAAAGTTGAAGCCGGGCAAATTTACTTCCGGAGCCCCAAAGTTGTGAGAATCAATATGGCGTTGTATTAGAAAATATGTGGTCCAAGTTAATATCGCGCAATTATTAGCAAATCGCGGAGGTTGCATCAACTTTTTTGCACTATTTATGAAATAAATCATTGTGACTATAGTTTGTAAGAAAAAAATTGCAGAATACGCCAATACATCGCCGTAAAATTGATTTCAAGTGTAGCTCGATTTGAAAGCATCAGCAGCGACTAAGGCTTAAGTAGTGGAATTTACACATCTAAATATCGTATCACAGCACAATCTGCGATAGTGTGGCTTAGTTCGTGTGGCAAACACAGCGATATCATACTCGATCTATGGATGTATTGTAATAGAACAGGCATATTACAAAAATCAGTCTGAAATTGACACATGTTACAAGCACAAATTAAATATTTTGCTCAGAATAAATAATTTAGGTTTGATATTTTCAATAACAAGAATGTGTAGAAAGTTTTATATGCATATACATGCCTGAATGGTAAAAAAGACAATAAAAATGTTGAAAACAGTAGCATAACATCACCATAACAGTACATTAATCACTGTGGGCAGTGGCCATATAACCCACTGGTTTAGACTATGTCAATACATTGTTTATATATATGTGTAAAACACAGTCAAGACTACAAGTCTGGTGACTCTTCTTGCTTTAACAAGTAAATATTTTCCCCGTGTTGGACAGAGTGTATTGTATCAACCTGTGGTATCAACAGTTTCACAAGTGACCTGCTATTTTATACTTCACAAAAAATTTGGTGTAGAAGAGGTAGACTCATAATATAAAACAAATTCCGAAGAAGCAAGACAGACTCTATGACATAGACAAGCAAGACAAGCAAGACATAGACAAGACATAGACAAGCAAGACATAGACTCTTCGAGGTAGACTCTTCACATTCTTTCTGTAAATAATTTCTGAACGTATTAATTACTCACATCTTGACATAGCTATATTCGTTTGCCGACCAGAAACACCAGAAAAATGCATTTCTGGTACAATAATCCAGTGCAATATTTAATTATGTACAGTGAACAATATACTTTATATAAATCGTGAAAAATCTTTCAAACTGTTATCTCCAACTCGTTTTACTTAACAATAAATATCGGAAGATAATTCTACGACGTTCGATTCAACATTTTGTGGCAGATTGTGCTGTGATACGATATTTAGATGTGCAAATTCCAGTATCTTAAGCCTTCGTCGCTCCTGATGCTTTCAAATCGAGCTACACTTGAAATCAATTTTACGGCGATGTATTGGCGTATTCTGCTATCTTTTTCTTGAAAAACTATGGTCACATTGATTTTTTTCATTAATAGAGTAAACCAGTTTATGTAACCGTCGTGACTTGCAAGTAATTGCAAGATATCAGCTTTGACCAGATATTTTCTAATACAACGCCATATTGATTCTCACTACTTTGGGGCTCCGGAAGTAAATTTGCCCGGCTTCAACCACCACTTATGAAATGTAAGCCGTTGCACTATCTAGTGTATTATTAGATCTGTGGTATCGTCTCATAAAAGACCTTATCGAGTAAGTTTCAATTCGTTTGTAGTTGTCGTAAAATGTTTTTTTCTATGTAATATTACATCGCTTACGTATATGTATACAGAAGTGCTAACATGTAAGCAATAAATTCATACGTGTTTCTTATATTTCTTTTAGAACAATGTGTAATGGTTTGACCTTACGAATCGAACGGGAATAAATAAAAATATATATTTACAAAAGCTTAACGACTCGTGTTTCAAGTTTGTTCTTTTTATCCGAAACAAATATTTTACGCCAATCGTTACAAGTGTATTTTAGTATCTCAAGTCCATTAACGGGTGGCTTGACATCTTCAATGCTTTTTATAAAATATTTGATCACAATGTCTTCGGTCGCATTTTCCAAGGCATCATCAAAACACAACAACATACGCACGTCGTGCTCTGTCATCAAACAATCAAGCTCACGTGAGAGGAGTGATCAATCATGCAACCATTGCATTTCGTATTTACTTCAGCGTTTATCATTGCGTTTAGCATAGCAGTCCAAAAGTTTATTTTCTAACATACTTTGACGTACAGTTATTTCATTCTTTTCTGACTCCAAAAGCAATTTGTTCATTCTTAATGCCAGATCAATGTCTACATTCAATTCCATTTGTTTCAAGAGATAGAATGTAAACCTTTCGATAAAGTATAAGCTATAAAATGCAATTACCTCGTTTTCTACCGTTTTTACCTTCGATTGAGAAAAGGAAACGGATCTAATGTTACTTTGTCAATAGCATGCAACTTCCAGCTTTGTCGTATTTCCAATTTTCACGCCATCCAATGCCATGCCCTGTTTATTAAACCCTATTTCCGGTTGACATGCGCGCGCACCGATCAAATTCAGGGGACTGGAAACTAACTGGCACGGGTAAGAGCTCTGTGACAAAAGTGTGACAAAGCTGCACCTTATCTACTTGGGTGCATTACTATAATATTTATAATAAACTTGGTTTTGGCTGTCCCATGATGGGATAAGCCTCACCATTTGTAATATTTGACTTTGTGATGTCCATGGGCCAGAGGGCTATAAAAATGGGGATTTAGTGCGAGATAGAAGGACAAAGATACATATCTTTAAATTGAGGTTCTTAAACTTTGTTTTGACGTATGATAACCATCAAGAAAGAGTACAATAACATGTTAAGTCATAGGATGAAAGTTAGTGTCACGTATGTTTAAGAAACGGAATAAAAAACAGACAAATAACAAAAGATGATGAGTAAAGCTAATGAGTGTGTCAAATCTACTTGTTAGTACAAAAATGACAATATGTCTGTCACAATGAATCAGTAACATTACAGTTCAAAATTTCGTTGCCATGTGACAAAAGTTACATCTATATGAAAAAATGAACGTTTAGTTTGTTTTATTCACCTTAGTAGTGTGCACTTATCCAAACATTTTTAGGACGTTCACCAGACATTTGCAGGTAGTAATTTGCATGATAATTAGTATCGACAAGATAAAAGTTTCAAAATAGCTGTTTGCAGATGTTCGCCCCTCATTCCACTAATGGCCACCAAGTCGTATTCATAATACTAGCCAGATACAACTGCACATGGAATTTGGGGGAAACGCTCTGGGAAAAGAAGAAGAAAAATTTGTGAAAAAGTGCGTTTTCAGACAGCTGTCTTGTAATTTTTTCGGCGTGATTGCTTGTACAAGCAATCTTTACAAGGCTGTATTTTGCAGGAGTCGATGCTTTCTTATTTGATTCAAAAAAAGTCTTTAACGAAACTCAATGATATCTGAAAGCTCTGGACGACTGCAAAAAATTATTGTAGGTGAAAGATTTAAGTTTCTTGAATAACTCTTCCCATAGGTCTAAGAAGTTAAATTATCTCTTAAATTATTTGTTCTGTTTTAAAAGCCGTATCACTCCGACCTTTCCTCCACCAGCCAGGCACTTAGTGTATCACATATAGTATACAAGGATGTATATCAAGCAAGCTTGGACACAGATCTGGATCAATGTCTTAAGACAATTTGAGATATTGATAAACTTGATTCTTGTTGATGATCCACTTTTATCAAACATAGATGAAGTAATTAAATGATTAAATGGCAAAAACACAGCATGAATAAATCTTTGCAAATTCTAATATTAGAATTACTGTGCCGCAGACAGATTTTCTTTAACAACATGGGTACCATTTGCTGAGATCTTGTAACACTTCTCTTTGCAGGCTACGTACAAAAACTTACTTCCTAGCTTTTCTTATATTTATCTATTCTTCTGTTCTCTAATCTTCGCTCAAAAAGATCGTTAGGGCTTTATTATTTTTGGGATTTCGCAAGAAATTTCTCCATTTATGTGATTTCTGAACGCACATAAATGTTCTTAAACTCTTTTGTTGTGACCCGGGCTGCTTGCTCTCTCTTTGCATTCTTCGTACAAATTTTTTGTTAATCTTCAAAGATAACCCAATACTTGAAGTGAATGATCCTTCATGTAACATTATGTTGTGAAGAGAATCCTCTATATCTGAAAAGTTTTTGCAATCTATGATACAGCAAACGTTAATGAATCTCTTCGGAAACAGGTATATTTTATATAGATCTTTTGCAAGTAATGCCTTGGTCGTTTTTCTCAATGAGCCATCTGAACTTAATAATGACCTTGGAAGGGGACCAAATGGATGGCAAAAGAAATCTTTCATCTCAAGATGGCGGTTATTGTATATCAAAACCATCTGACCAAACAAAGATTTATTGGCTCAAAGAATGATCTTTTTTCATTTTTATATTGATACGCACTTTCTTATTTCAACTCAGAAAATGCAACTTAAATATTCTTATGTTAACATGGAAACAGATCAATGGAGGATCTTTCTCGCGACGTTCTTTTTGGAATGTTTTATAAGACATTTCGCCAAATTGTTTCGCATTTGAGGTATCTTCACTCTTTGTTGTTGCACGTTCCCATGTGGACAAACCAAAAAATCCAACCGCCCACTGCTAAATGGCTTAATCCACTGGCTATAAAACATTGCTAGTAATGACTTGACATCAGCCTCATCTTTTAAAAAAATTCTACTTGTTTACTGCTACCGCTTTAAAGCTTTTCGTCACTCCTGCAGTTTTTGTATCTGAGTTAACTGTTTCTTTGTATGCCTGATCAACTTAATAATCAAACAGACTTGAGATAGTCGTGTGCTTCTGTGCGGTTCTCTTTGAGATGAGACATATCAAATATATACGAGCATAATTGAGGTTATTTTAGGCAAAGCACCAACAAACCATTTTCGCACAAGTAGATAAATGCAAGTCCGAATTGCCTCTCTTCATGCTAATACCAAATTAAGCAAAATATGTGCCAAGTCAATATAAGACATCCAAAAGCAAGAAAACTTTCCATTA